ACACACTCTTGTGTGTTACAGCCTGCTCAGTGTTTTATAACTAAGGTGTCACTTTATTTTTAAGCTCATTTAATAAGACAAGTTGAACCAGAACAGACTCATTTGGAGCAGCATAGAAACACATACAGTACACACATGGATCACTGTGTAGAGCTATGGGCAGCTTCTGCACAACTTCTATAATTAATTAAAGTCCCACTCCAGAAACATTTTCATTTTTATATTTGTATATAAAAATACTTTACTATAAACAATATGCAGTCTAACACAGCTTTTCCTCAAAAAAATTTCAGTGGGCCTCTGTAATAGGAATGAACATTGCCCCTCATTGTGCATTCCAGGATCTATGAATGTTGCCGTCATCCCTTATGTGGATTTGAATAATTTTGCACGCCCAATTTTTCAGTTTTTTATTTGTTAAAAACGTTTGAAATATCCAATAAATTTCGTTCCACTTCATGATTGTGTCCCACTTGTTGTTGATTCTTCACAAAAAATTACAGTTTTATATCTTTATGTTTGAAGTCTGAAATGTGGCAAAAGGTCGCAAAGTTCAAGGGGGCCGAATACTTTCACAAGGCACTGTAGCTGAAATAGCTGAAAGTATGCTGAAGTAGAATGTCCCCATTCATTTGAATGGGGCAAAATTTTCAGAATAAAGCTGAATAGTTTAAAAAGTATTAACTCTAGGAAAATTCTGAATAGATGTCCGCATGTCCTGAAAAAGCGGAACATTTTGATACCTGAATGGTTTTTCTAGCTGAAAGTATGCTGAAGTAGTTAAGCGGCACAAAATGTACGGAAGAATATAAATAAAATATAAATAATTGGATAACATAGTATGGATGCTGAGTCAGCATCCATACAATAATAATAATAATAAAGACCAGGATAACATAGTATGGATGCTGAATCAGCATCCATACAAATACTATATAAAATATACAGTAAATGAATCAGTAAATAAAAAGGTTAACTTTCAATTTTGTAATTAAGTTTGAAATGACCTTAAATATGTCTGATTAAATACATAAAAGACATCACAAGCCAATAACAGAAAGCCATGGATTGTTGTTATTATTCATTTAACTGACCTATTTCTGAACTGGAAGGTTTGGATGGGCCACCGCAAATTTACAGAAAAATCTAAGGCATTCTTAGGATTGGGAATGTTTGCTCAGTACAATTCAATTCCTCTCCTTTCAATTACAATCTACCTTAAACAGTTTTTATCTCAGCTAAATTAAAGATCATCTGATTGTGATAACACAGTTGTCACACTCCAGACAAATTACACATTGTTTTAAGTTTGAGATGAATGTGTATTAACTCAGAATTTATTCTATGTTTGCAGTTCAAGAGAAATGCAGCCACTGAATTAAAGGTGTTAAATTGGGGATGGAAGAGATGAAGACACAAACCATCCTGCAGCTCCTGCTAACATCTCCCCTGATGGGTGAAGGATTAAACTGTACTTGATGTTCTTATGTAATGCACTGAACATGAAGCTGGAGAGACACAAGGCACTTTTAAGATCTGGGGCCATTCAGCGTTACATGAGAGGTTTTCCTTTTTGGCAGCAGTTACATATTTAACAATGAACCTGCATCTCAGAGGTCCAGTTTTCACTGTAGGGTTGCCAGGTTTGTTCAATGTAAGGACGGAGGCTGCCTCATCAGAATAAAAATCAGCTTTATTGGCCAGGTGTGTTGGACACGAGGAATTTGGTACAGCGGCTCTCAATGTGCATGTACATATCCCCGTGCAAGGGAACAGTAAAGGGCAAGTAAACAGTATAGCACGTAAACAATCTACCAACATAAGGCTAGGCAGTATAACAAAATAAACAGTGTAACAAGCAGTAAACAATGCAAGCAATGTTTGCAAAATAGAATAAACAAAATAAACAGTATAAGCAGGCAATATACACTACAGAGATGAGATAGGAAATGAGATAAAAAAAATATTAAAAATGGAATAAGGACAGAGTACTTAAAACTAGAGACCTGTACAAGTCTGTATAATCTGTACAATGTATATACAGGTATTGCACTGAGGGTTATTGTCGAGTCATACTGTTGCTGGTTAAGTGTGATAGCCTGGGGGAAGAAACTGTCCCTGTGCCTGGTTGACTTAGTGCACAGTGACCTGTAACGCCATCCAGAGGGGAGGAGTTCAAACAGATTGTGTCCGGGGTGTGAGGGGTCTGCAGAAATCCTCTCCGCCGTCCTTTTGACCCATGAGGTGTACAGGTCCTCCATGGAGGGCAGGCTCACACCAATGACCTTTTCTGCAGTTCTGACTGTCCACTGAAGTCTGTACTTGTCCTGTTTGGTTGCTGAGCCAAACCAGACAGTGATGGAGGTGCAGAGAACAGTCTCAATGATTCCTCTGTAGAACTGTATCAGCAGCTCCTGGGGCAGGTCGAACTTCCTGAGCTGGTGCAGGAAGTACATCCTCTGCTGTGCCTTTTTGATGATGGCACTGATATGGGAACTTAAAGCAGTGGCCCCTCAACTTACATCCAGCCAATAGGGTGTCACTCAGACATCAATGTAGGTGTCGGTGTGTCAAACTGGAGAACCTAATAGCTGGTGGTTAATACAAAATTATGGACAGTACATCACAGAAGGACAAGCTGGACACATGGGAGAAATATGGTGTGGCTACAGACAGTGAGAACAACATTAGCTGTTACCGTCCTGTAATCTGCCTGTTCTGCCTTGCCCTTGTTAGTGCTGTAAATTGCTGGTCTCATCTGGTTTTGACTCCTGAGCTCATTACCTGCTATTGGATTTGGACACCATCTGCCTGTGTCTCTGCCCTCTCTCAGTTTCTGTATTTCTGTTTTGTTTCTGAATTCCGTAAACCAGAAACCATGGTTGGACAGTACCGTT